CTGGGTTCAATCCCCAGTACCAAAAAAAAAAAAAAAAAAGCACCTCTTCTAGTCACAGTCTCCAAATTCAGAAGGTGTGCCTTTGATGGTGGCTTAAAATGTACGTTTTATACACCCTTTCTAGAACATTCATAGTCTTTTCTCTCCTTTTTTTCTCTCTTATTTTTTCTTTCTTTTCTTTGCAGTGCTGAGGATAGAACCTAGGTCAGTGTATCTCATTAAAACAAATTTAGCTGCTCTGTATTTCCAGATATTTATAATGCACATCCTCTTCAGATTTGTTATTAATAAGGAGACTGTAGCTGTGAAACACGGGTGCTGCCTCTCCCCTCACCTGTGCCCCTCAGATCACAGTGACACTGAGAGAACCCTCCCACCAGTCTATCAATCTAGTGATCTCAGGGTCCTGTGTAACAACGTTTCGATAACCTACCCATAAAAGTGTTGTAATTCAAGTTGGAACCCATCTGCCATCCTTCAGCTAGTATGACAGTGTTACTTATTTGTGTGTTAGAAATTGAATGAGGGCCTAAGATGATGGCACTATAAAGGACCCCATATGGAAAGTGTTTTTATTTTTTTTTTTAATACTTTTTTAGTTGTAGATGGACACAGTACCTTTATTTTGTTTATATGGTGCCAGGATCGAACCCAGTGCCTCATGCATGCTTGGCAAGTGCTCTACCACTGAGCTATAACCCTGGCCCTGGTTAACTTTTTTTTTAATTTTAGTTTCCTCAAGCTGGATCCATAACCCAAACCTTAAGCAGGAAGGGTAAGTTTTAAGCCCCAAAACTTACTTTAAGCTGAAGCATTTTTCATGTTCTAGGAGTCATAAAAAGGTGAAGGTCATCGCATTCTAACATTGTGGCAGAATTCCATAGTCAAACCACACCGGTCTGGTTAATCTTGTCTCTTCCTATGTGTCACTGAGGAACTTGGAATATCATCTCTGCTGTTCAGGTCATAGTCCCTACTGGACCCAAGGCCTCTTGGGTATACCGTCTTTGTTAGTATTAATGCTTTGTATGACTTCTGTGCAATTATATAAGTTCAGTTTGGACAAAATGCTGTTACTTTTTAAGGTTCTATTCATTGAAAATGACATTTGTCATTCCCCAACAAGGGGAAAGTATTTGTTACTGTCATTTTTAAAATATACTATAAAACAATATAGAATTGTTTGGAGTATGTGTGTTATTTTATAATCTAGGGTTTATAGGTTTAAATGTGAGAACACTTTGTTTTACAAAATATTTTCTTTTACAAAGTATTCATTAAATGGCATCACAAAATCTTGATAGTAAACTTGAGATGCTCTTACAAGTTGCAGATAGAGGAAAAAAATTGGATTTGATCCAGCCTTTTGAAAGTTAACTCCGAAACACTGGCCCATAATTTTCCAGGCAGCCCTATAAGGCCACAAGACTATAAACAATAGCCATAGACAAGCACTTTAGGAAGACTGGATTTTATGGGACAGTAGGATAAATTTGCAAAATAGTGAAAAAGCAAACTTTCTCCGTGAGCCATACACTGAATCATGTGCTGCCTCTCCATTGGGAAACCATCTGTGTTTATTTACTTACTTATTTGCTAGGTTTTTCATTGCTGGGAATTTAACCCAGGTCCTTGAGCACTAGACAGATATTCCACCACTGAGCTGCATTCCCATTTCTAGGAACCATCTTTTATGTACTTTGAATATTCATATACATACATGCACAATACATATATACACACATATACTTTTGTTTCTATATACATATACATACATGCACATATACATATATACACACATATACTTTTGTTTCTATATACATATACATACACATATATACTTTGTTTTGTTTTTTCACAGTAGTGGAATTGAACCCAGGGGTGCTGTACCACTAAACTATATCCAGCCCTTTTTATTTTAGATAGGTTGCTAAGGCTATCCTCAAACTTGTGATCCTCCTCCTCTCAAGTCATTGAGATTACAGATGTGTGCCACTGTGCCCTACTATATGTATGCTTTATGTAATTTTGGTAAGAAAAAAAATGTACTTTTAGTTGTTGTTACCAGGGATTGAACCCAGTGGTATTTAACCACTGAGCGACATCCCCATTCCTTATTTTTTGTTTTGAGACAGATCTTGCTAAGTTACTTAGGGCCTCACTAAGTTGGTGAGGCTGGCTTTGAATTTGTGATCCTCCTGCCTCAGCTTCCTCAGCCTCTGAGATTATAGATATGCATCACCACACTCAGCAAATGTACAGATTTCAGAGAAAATTTTTAATTTGCATGATGCTTTCCAAAATTATAAATTTTTGAAATGTTAATATTGCATACTTTATGGGAATTGAATCTTTAAAAATAATTTAATTTAAAATTGAATTTAAGTATAAAGAATCCAACTTTTCCTTTCATTGACAAAATGAAACACAAAATTTACAATAATGTAAATAGACTGTTAACCCCTTTTAGCCATAATATACATGAATTATTTGACCACCAGCTGGGGAGCTGCTCATAACCTAGACTCCACCAAGAAGCACTTCCTTGACAGGTCACAAGTTCCCAGCATATGTAAAGCAAAGATCTGGGCTCTCTGAAGCTGAACCTTCAAGGAGCCCTCCCCCACTAATTTCCAGCCCCCCACCCCACCCCACCCCATGTCTAACAGCCCTGTGTCTCTGGAACACCACCTGTTCCAGCAAACCCAGAGCTCCCTTGTCTGTGATGAGCACTCAACTCCTGCTCCTGCTGTTGCTGCCCCTCCTTGTCATGTTGCAGTAAATTCATGGCTCCTGGTGACTCTAGGTGCTCCAAATTGAGTCCATCTGGCTCTTCTAAAG